AAAAAAATCTCTTAATTGTTTTGTTGGATTTTTTTCTTTCTACTCCCTGGAGATGTGTGGAACCAATAACCTGTCAGCTGTGTGAAAAAGCTCAAAATCAGTCTGTAGGAAGGAAGGAAGGAAGGGTTTAACTCTAAGGAGTCTTCGTAGGTGCTGCTATGGTTCATGAGCTCTTAATGTTGATACAGACAGCTTTCTGTGGGATGTTGCTATTGTACTGGTGGCTCAGAGTTGTTCAGCATCCTAATTATTGAAACACCGTGCTTACATATATTTAGTATGATAACCAAATGCAGTTTGACTTTTCACATTCCATAGTACAGGCAGGCGCAGCTAGTGGAAGCGTGCCTCTTCACTGACATAATGCTTTACATTTATTTGATGCTCCTTCCCCAATTCAGCTGATCGGATTTGACATGTTTTCTGTAGGAAATGATTCATCCATGTCTAAATGTCGTTGTACAGCAAAAACTGTTGTATAAGTCTGCGACACTATTTTCATATAAAATGTACTGAAATAAAAAGCCACATATCTAATAATGTTTGCACTCTTGTGTTTTTTGTAACGTGGTTGCATTAAAACATGCATGGCACGGATACGACACCTCATCTGGGTATCCTTTTATTCTGAGCTCGTTCTCGAGCATCCTACACTTCCTTTCTTTTTTAACTTTTGTGGGTTTATAAGTATTTATTTTGTTTTACTGGACAATGGGACCAAGACATGGTTGTCAAATAGTCAATATTTCAGTTTTTGTTAAACTAAAACGGAGCTGCGATAGGAAGTTTGGTTTTTAGCTTGACTGGGCAGAAAAGAGAATCCGCAGCAGCCTTTCAGAATATTTTCATTCACGTTTCTGAAACAGAGGAGAAAGAAAAAGTTGACATATAAAGTAAAACATGACGACCTGTCCTGTACCCTTAATGGTGAGTGCTGACACCTCAGTACATAACAATAAAGATGTGGTTTGATGACCATTGGAACAGTTACCAGGTTTTTCCAAGGGTAGCTGCACAGGCAGAGACCATCCTCACTAATTCTGATGCACACTCAGTTATTTTGTTCTATACGCAGCCTAAAACAGCCAGACACCCACCAGTTCAGGGAAAAAAGCTTCAAGGGTTACTCTTTGTTAGCGTTCAAGAGTTTAAGAATTAAATTACTTTTGACAAACAAGCACTTGCACCTGAGGTGGGAGGGGCTTATAAAGAATAGGTGCAGATATATCATACAAATATGTATTGTGGCACCCCCACCCTCTGTACAGTTCTAACTACTACAAAGTAAGTGGTTGAGAGAAATAAAATAAAAAAATATATATATATATATATTTTACTGGCTGGCTCGTGACTTCTCCACACCACTGCATGCATGCCTCTAATTTAGTACTTTTTGTTCATTAAATAAGGATGCGTCTCTGCAAACTTCCTATTCACACACAATGCACTGAGCTGTTTAATTCTCAGGCAAAGTCACTGTACATGGCAACAGTGAGCATATATAGCAGGGGTCCCCAATCCCAGTCCACGAGGGCCGGTGTCCCTGCAGGTTTTAGATGTGTCTTTGATCCATCACAGCTGATTTAAATGGATAAATTACCT